TTTTTAATTAAATTACCTTTAAATATATAAAGTGAGGGAACTCTGAGCTCCATGAACATTTCTGATGAGTTTATGGTCTTAGTCGTTGGTTTGAGCCAAACAGGATGACAGAGGTGTGAAGGAAAGGAGTGAAGATTTAGGGTGGAGGATCTGACAAGTCACCAGTTTCTCCATCAGGTCCTCCCCTCAGTCATCAAACACCAAGACAGCAAAGGATAAAAAGCTCAGATGAAGTCCTCAAAAATCTACATTTGACCTATTAGGCTGAATACATACAACTACATCCATCTTTTATTTACAGTCTATGGTTGAGAAGCACCACCCAGCCTCTGACATGTGTATACTTCCTCTCTCAGACAGTGAGGACCAGCGAAATAGTCCTCATTTCCCTCATCTAAACCACAAACAAAGATAAATATCCACATAATATCTCTGAATGACGAGGAGACGGTTTGCTTAAGGTTTTGTGGCGTTACCCAATAACGTCAGAGCAGAATTCAAACAGCATGCAGCTAAAAATACACAAACACACACACACACACACAAAAAAACAAAAAAAAAACACACACACACACAGAGATAGCTCAGATTCCAGATGAGAAATGCTTTAGCCTCCTGGGCTAACTTTAGCGAGGCCGACATGAGCAGCGGCAGAGGAGAGTCTCAATATGCTGAACTCTGCGGGGCCAGAAATATGTGGACACACCTGTGCTCATGCTGAGGACAAAGTTCAGCAGGTAATAGCAGGATTTAAGCCGACTACATCTGTAAACAATGAGCAGATTAACGCTCCCGCTTCTGGGATGAAGTAAGTCCATTCGTCCACATACTTATGGTCACATGAACAGCTATGTCATTGATGTAACGGTGAGTAAACAACCTGAGGCTGAGATAAAAGGCAGTTCTTTGAAAGAGCCGGTTTGTTGGCAGTTTAGTAAACACAAGTTTCAAAATAAAAGCTGAGAAATGCACTTGAAAGCACGCAGACAGCCCCGACTGATCACCTGGATCATCTCGGCGCAGGACTGAGCGGCACGGAGAAACTGGAAACACGAGCCTCAGCTGTGATTTCTCAATGCAGAAACATTATATTAGCGGCTGTTTGGAAACTGACTCAGTAACTGACTAATCACAAATGAAAATGAAGGACTGACAAAAGCAGATGAGGGCAACGTTTTTCCCCCTCAGGCTGATGTAGATACAGTAAACAAAGGCCTGACAAATGTTAACATTGTTATTTTGTGTTAATAAAACACGTTAAAACAAAGATGTATTCCCAGAGAAACTGCTTTACACTGTATGATGAACATTAGACAATTTTAATCCGTGTATACAAAGTAAATACCTGAACAGAGTGAGTCACATGAGCTGTATCTTTAGTGACTTGTAGCAAACGACCAGTTCAGGATCTCAGTTCGGAGTTATCAAGCTTTCCTTGTTTCTGAGAAGCAAACGGATGAAATAAGCTATCATCTGTATGTTTGTGTCGATGCACATGCATGCACAGAAGCATTGTGCTAATGTAAATTACCTTAATGTAAACTCACATAATGCAAAATGACCAGTGTAAAGATCTGTTTTTTATTCAGCTTGGTCTAAATGTGTAAATTATTATTATTTTAATATGTTCTAACTAGGGCTGTTCGATATAACGATATATATCGGATGACGATATAAAAACATCTATCGTTTCATTTTACGCTATCGTTTGTTTCGTGGTGTCGCAAAATAAACTGTTTACGGCAATATTTTTTCATTGTTTTGATATTTCTGATGGTCACTGTAGTTTTTCTTAAAGTTCTCTCTTTCTCTTATATTTTTACATTTTTATATAACCACACTACTGACGGACAAGTGTTTGTTTTTATGCGTTGTACGTTAGCAACGACGGTAAAACCACCGCGTGTCCGCTTGTTTATTTTCCACATAAACCTTTCACAATAAAGCTCAAGATCCTGTTGAGACTTTTCAAAATAAACTGAATCACGTGAAAGATGCAGATTATTTACGGATGAGAAGCAAAAAAGAGCCACCAGGTAGAGCAGGGCGATATGGCCAAAAATATTTATCACGATATATATTTGAAAATTTGCGATAACGATATAACTGACGATATAATTGATGCGAGACAAAATACAACTCCACAACATTACTAGCGCAAAAAGACAACCTTCCATTTATTTTCACTTAAACAAGAAGCTGGTTTTTATGTACATTAAAGCTTTATAAAAATGTAACAGTGCAAATGCAAATTCCTTGCTGAAAGTTTAACCAAAAGGCATTTCCAGTAGAAATGGGCTGACATATCCTGAGCATAACCATGTATAATATCCACTGAAGTTAAAAAGAGGTGCTTTGCAACATTAAACTGCAGTGTGCAGTACGTATGTTTCGGACCATAAGGTGCACGGGATTATAAGGCACATTAAGCGAAACAAAGCAGTCAGATAAATCAAACTTTATTAAACTCATTCTTCTTGCTTCCTCCACTTCTGTACCATTGATTCATTAATGTTGAATTCTCTGGCAGCTGCTCTATTCCCATGTTGTTGCAGTATATTAATGACTAACCTCGTATTGTGGATGGATTATCTCAGTTGTTCTCCTGACTGAAGTTTGGTCCGTTTACAGCATCCTGCCATGCGATTGCATTTGTCTCTAACCATGAGGAACCTTCACGTTAACTTTTATAAGTGGAAAAGTGTTAGTGTTCGTCCTCCAGCTTCACTGTTTATGTTATGCTAACATAGCTGTGTCGCTAGCGATCACGTAGCACATCATTATATACCAGCTAGCCCAACTTCAGTAACCCTACAAACGTCACTGCTGTTTAGTTTCCTGTCTTCATTTATGTTGGAAGTGATAGCAGAGCTGTACGTTTGATTTTTTTCAGAAATCTCTCAGTCAGAACATGCTATATCATGCTTAGGTAACTAGCGAAACTAGCGAGCTAACTTCCGCTAGCTTCCTGCTAACTTCTAACTCCGTTAAATGTAATACATTTTGTTTTCATGGATGCCTGGAAGTTAAACTTTATAGTTACACCTGGTAAAGCAGCAATGCTGATCGTTTTATTAAAGATGAAAGAATTTAGACAGTTTTTAACTCTCAGTGATGCTGCAGTGTTGTTTGACCTGAAGCATACGGAGTTTAGGACCCAGATTACTCCCAGATTTAAGAGCATCTTAGTCCGACAAATATGACAATAACGGCCGCTTGCATGTTCTGCAAAAAAATGTGCTTTGTTGTGTATCTGACGGACAAACACCAAACCAGTTCCACATCACTGAAGTTGCACCATTTTTACAAACCAATTCTGGTTCATCTGTTTCACTCAACAATCGGCCATGTGCGTATGAAAACAAAGGCACTGCGCATGCGCGTTTTACTCCCATTCTATCGCGATATTTCATTTTCCTATGGTTGCCTAACATTATACCAGTATTACCGTGAACGGTATAATATGGCCCAGCCCTACCACCAGGTGCTAAAAAATAAATCTTAGACTCAAACCTTAGAACAGGCTTTTCCCCGCAGCACGCCGTGTAATAACTACTCACAAAGAAAACGGCGGCCGTTACAACTTATGTCTAAAAATGTGTAGTTTCATGCATCTGTTAAAACACTCGACTCCAGTACGTGACGCGCAGCTGGAAACACTTCACGCAAGTCGAGCTGCCGAGATTCACAGAATTTACAGAAAATGTTACATTTTTGTGATTTATATCGTTATCGGGACGATAGAATTCTTATATCGGGATATGAGATTTTGGTCATATCGCACAGCCCTAGTTCTAACACAAATACAAATTACAGATTATGCAGCACTTATTCAACAACAGCTGGTATAAAGCTGTTGTTACATCACTGTGCACAAAGCGACCAATTAGGTGAGTGTAAAAGTGCTGGAACGCATCTGAGGGCTTTTATTGTGAAATGCAGGAACAGGAAGAAACCCGCTTTGCCAATGTTTAGAAAAAGTTGGTGCATATGTTCTAGTGACAGACATCACTTCTGGATCCAGAAACCAGTGGGCGATGTCGCAGTAGCTGTGTCCATCTTTTATATACAGGCTTCCCTTCTGATGAATGAAAATGTGTTTAAAGTAGATTTAGTTTAGTTTTTGTTATAATTTGATGATGTAATGTTTAATATTGTACATCAATCCCTGCTGACATCACAGACTTTGTGTCTTCTGATAATCTTTATCTGATTCAGACAAGACAGCTAACCGAGAAAATAATCTGCAGATTAATCAATAATGAAAATGTTCTTTAGCACAGATTGAGCTCCAACTACCATTTAGCAATAAAACTGCAGATTACCTGAGAATACCAAGAATACCAAAAAACATGACACTGATTTTCACAGCCTGACCTTCACAGAGCACTGCTGCAAACTATTATCATTTTCATTATCAGCGGGCAGCTTTAACTCTGAGACATGGTGCCGCTTTCAAGGTGATGCATCTCATTTAGTCTTAGCTCCAGCCCCATTATTCACTTTATAATAAAACAAGAGGAAATAAATCAGCAGGTCTTCCTTTTCAGATGCATAAATCCGCAGAGATTTGCATTCTTTACAGGATAGTGCTTGAAACAAATGGAGACATTTGTGCTCAAAATAATGAAAAATACATTTAGAACAACTAAGACATTTAACATGCGGGGCAAGAAACCCCTCACACTTTAAATTATGAATAAAAATGAGTTGAAATGAACTAAATCCACAGGTTGTTTATTTGTATTTACTGTTCTTAAGTTTCTAAACTTTTATTTACTGTAAAGTTGAACTTCTAAACTAACCGAATCTGTTTTCCAAATGAATAAAAACGACAAATGACTGAAAATATGAATACATGAAAAGAAGAATTAACACTTAAATGGATTAATAACACATAAAGGTGAAAAAGTGCAGTAAAAGTACCTCAGTCATAATAACAGCATTAATAACTATGTGTGCTCCGCTCTGATTGGATCCCGTTACCGGAGATGACTCACCTGTACAGGACCGGAGGAAACCGTGAGTCTCGTGGAAGCCACACGATGCCCCGCTCACTCTCTCTCCATGCCCACCTTCAGTAAAATCAAACAAATAAACAAACAAAGGCACGCGGGGCAGCAGCCTCTCTTGGTTCCGGTCCCGGTGCGGGCCTGTCGGTACCGGGACAGCCGGGCAGAGAGGGTGGGGGTGGAGGGACTTGGGTGGGGGCGCTGCTGCCTCACAGAAAAGTTCCAGCGTACACTAACCGGAGCTGCTCCCGGGAATAACGGCAGCACCGGCGCCTCGAGCTCAACTTTTCTCCGGGCTGACGTCACCGTCCGGTGAGCCCAGGCTGGGGAAAGTTGAGGCCCGCCGCTGGCTGCTGGGGCGGTGAATCACGGCAGCTCCGGGACAGCCCGTCGCTGGAAAAAGTTGCTAATCCGGTGGTCAGTCCGCCTCCTCGCGCTCCTGTCCGCGTGGAGCGGGCCTCGAGCGGCGAGCCGGGAGTGAGCGGAGAGTTTGAACGGAAAAATGGAGGAAAAGGGGAGAGAAGAGAAGGGGAGAGAGGCGGAGAGGCTGGCCGGTGGCCTGGCCGCGCGGCGGGTGAGTGCGTGTGTGTGCGGGCGCGTCCCCGTGACGGAGCTGGGACGCTCACAGACAGACAGACGGACAGAGGTCTCACTCTGCTCGCACACGTGACTTATGATACTTTTAGTTACATTGTAGTTGTCCGCGCGGGACTTTGTAACAAAAATGTAACAAAGCGTTACTTTTACCACCACTGATGAACAAACTAGTAAAAGCGTTCATCATTAAAGATGCTCATAAGCAACATGACAACCGGAACAAGGAGCTACATTAAGGTTGAACACGTCATGCCAGTGTTTCCACATTGAAATAAAGCTGATCTGAGCTTCTCTATAAAAAAGTGCATTACATTTTAAACCTGCTTCTCTTTGTGCTCAACTAAAAACCTTTATGTTTAATAAATAACGCACATAATTCAGAATACATACATAATTTAATTAAAAACTGAAAATCGTCCAGTGCTGCCGTGACAGTGGTGACTTGCTCTGGGATCAGTGGGGAACGTACAGGCATGAGCCGCTAATGAACTCTGAGTCTACAGGATCGCTAACTGAAGGCCTGGTGGAGTGAATCATCCTACTCCGAGACGATCTCTGGCGCCATGTCGTCCCTGATGGTGGAGGAGTTAAAGGAGCAGTCCGTCTGTTTCCCAGACCACAGTCACCCTGAGGGTTGATCAGCTGTTGTAACTGATGCAATCCAAACTGAGTGATTCAATCTAAGATGGACTTCTGAGCAACGCTCCAGAGACTGTAGGAAAACTGCTCTCTTATCATTTTAATCAAGATAGTAAATTCCAGCCACACTTGAACAGAGTCATGTCAAATATTAGTGTTTTGTGGGAAACGTGCAGCATCATGCCTCCGGCAAAGATAAGATCGATGTGATCTTCATTTTTTACAGAAACCATCGCTTTTGATGTCCACTATAATAAAAATTCATAAATTACATTAGATTCAGCAGATGTTGCAGAACTTCATTAAGAATCTGTCAGTTTTCAGGTTCAGAGTATAGTAGTGGGAGCTGTGTGCACATTCATGGGTTTACTGCACACAGGAGCTACTGATAGTTAATTTAGCTATCCTTAACAACTGGAAAAATCTGAAAAATACAGGACTGTATTTGTGTTAATGGGCAGAGCGAAATATAAGAAATACATCTCTGTGTAATGCTTAAAACTGAACAGCACCACAGTGTGATTAAAGTAAATTAACTTCTCTGTTTGATGAGTAAACACGTTCTTATCTTGTGTCTTTCTGTATGCATGTTTAAGGTAAAACATCACAAGTGTGCCTGTGTGTGTTTTATGCTGTTTACACAGTCATGCTGTGGCGACTTGACTTCCTTTAACGGACAAAAAGCACATCCCCATAAGACAGGTTATTCCGTTTCTGGGTGAGGACTTTAGGGTGGGAGTCCCGGGAAAGGTTGGAAGTTATGTGACGTCCTCTGAAGTGAAAAAAAAAAACAACCCAAAAAACTACTTTGTGTGTCTATTGTTTCTCTGTCTTTGTGAGGACTGTGGGCAGTCCTCCTTTGGGACCTTTAAAGGACTGCTGGAGGGGTCAGTTCTGGTTTTCAAGGACATGTGACTCTATCATCTCAGGGAGGGTCCTCACAAAGTACGAGCTTGAGTGTGTGTGTGTGTGTGTGTGTGTGTGTGTGTGTGTGTGTATATAAAACAAGAAGGAGTCAGAAACACCTAACAGAACACACACACACACACACACACACACACACACACACACACACACACACACATTACAGAGTTTCTGTCAACATGCTGCTGATTGTGCCTGACCTTTGACCTCCTTGTGACTCATAACATAGTTGAAAGTGGATTGGTCCACATTTTGCCTCCTTCAGGAAGGCCTGGGATTGTCCTGTGATGTCATAAATTTGAGGTGGAGCTCAGAGGTCAAAGGTCAACACTTTGCCGAGTTAAAGGGAAAATCCCCACAGCTGCTGCGCCCTCTGCTGGACACCACTGAACATTACAGCACAGTGTCTGCATCACTACTGATAGGCAGTCAAAATCAAAACATGAAACTTTATAGAACTCCTACTCTCTGGATTTCATGTTTTATAATGAGGGGTTACAATTATTTGAATTAAATTATTCGTTAAATTATATAATTACATTATATAATTACATTATTTAAAAATGGCCTCAGATATGACATATTAAATTTTGTTCTTATCGATATAAAAAACACATGGACCTGGAGGTTTGAGATGTTCTAGATGTTTGTGGCTGCAGCTGAACTAAACAGTGAGTGAATTTTTAGGATGGCACGAAAATGCATCTTTGGAAAGTAAATAAGTGCTCTTCATTTAACACAAGACAAAAGGAACCAGAGCAAAAATACTTTTATTAAAAATCCTAATTATCTTGTTTTAATGATCACAGGGAAACTCAAATGGCTTAAATCAAAATCCATTTCATGGCCACTTCCTCAGTACAGGTATTTCAGGATTGCTCCTTAGAGTCCTGCTTCAACTATTCTTTATGTGAAAAAATCATGCATTTGCCCAAAACAAAAACAAAACCTGGCCCCTAACATTTTCACAAAGTGAAATATTATCATTATTATCATTACACAAACTTTAAACTATGTTTTAAAAGGTTTTACTGTTTTTCCCCTCATTTTTGTTGCTGTTTCCCAACCTCAGAGCCACCACAGAGACTCATATAGCTTTGTATTTGTGTTTATTTGATGGCACATATTAACATTGCAGCATTTAAACACGTATACAGCTGATGCAGTGCATACAGGATTTCTAGCCAAAGCTAATTTGTAGGTCTTGCCCCTGGTTCTGCTTTTAAGACACAACATATCCATACAAGTATAGGATCAAACAGTTCAAAAGCAACAACAACAATGATAATATTCATAATAATAATAAAGTACTGACAGAGGTGTTTTTAATATTTTCTTGATGTTGACATTTTTTCATAAAGCTAAAAGCCTCAAATAAAACCAGATTAACAGGCAGCAAAGGAAATCAGACTGTTTGTTTTTGAGTGTAGTGCCTGAAGAGGGCGCTCTTACTCTGCAGGAAAAAGAGCAGCTTTCACTCTGCAGCGTCTCATCTGCTCCATGTCGTAGCCACACGACAGTAAGCACTGAACTTCACCAGCCCTGACAGCTGATTGTTTACACACAGTTTTCATTTCCCTATGATCCCTGAAAGTAATATTAATTGAAGTAATGCTTCAAACTAACTGAGCTGTTTCAATCATCCAGTCAACAATACAGCAGTGGAAAAGGTTTCGGTGTTTTAGGACATATTAGAAAAACATTCTGCTCTTTAAAAGGTTCTAAAATTAAGACAAAATGAAGAAGTGTGTGTGGAAAATCTGAGAATAGCTCATGATTCATTAGCTTGTAGAACCACCTTTAGCAGCAGCAACATAAAGTTTGTCCAGGATAGCAGTCACTACATCATGATGCAGGAATCTTTGCCCTCTCACTTTTACAACTTTGCTTCAGTTTATTGCAGTTTGCAGTCATCTGTTTATGCACAGCTCTGAAGGTCCTGGCACAGGACTTCAATCAGACTGAGGTCTGGAATTTGGCTCGTTGCAGCACCTTGATCCTTTTCTTTTTCTGCCATCAAATTGTAGATTTGCTGCTGCATTTGGGATCATTGTCCTGTAGCATGAGCCAATAGGTGTTGTACAAATGGCCTCATGTTTGACTCTAGAATACCTTTGCATACAGAGGAGTTCATGGTCCACTGAATGGCTTGAAGGTGTCCAGGTCTTGTGACTGCTGAACAAGCTAAATCATCAAACTGCCACCACGGCACAGCCATGTACATGACTGTTTATAAGATTGGGGAAACCTGCAGTCAGCTGAGACTGAAGAAGTCACTTGGTTGAGCGACGAAAAGTTTCTCCCACGAAACGCTACGTCCAGATAAATAGAACCAATTTTCTTGGAGAGCCAATCTCCTAGCAACCCTTCCAAACAACCCAAACGTATTCAGTGTTGTTCTAATTGTGTTGTCATGAACTTTAACCTCTATCATGCTAATCAAGGTCTGCAGAGTCTGAGTTGTAGCTCTTGGGCTTTTGCACGTTCTCTGAGCATTGCACGCTATGACCATGGGATTAAATCCTGGAATGTCCACTCCTGGGAGTCCTGATAACTTTTCTGGATGTTTTCCACATGAGAATAATCTATCTCACTGCAAGATGATGGACCGTAGATTATTTGGAAATGGCCTTATAACTATTCTGAGACTGACGGGCAACAATAGCTGCTTCTCTCGAGATTATATCTTTCCTTTTGGCGTTGTGTTAACACACTGAAAGGTTCATCAACCCAAAACTGCTTTTACCCATCTGGAATACAATTATACTGAGTTTCTTTACACTGACTCTAGCCAGATGTTTAACGCAGCCATAACAAACTGCCTACAAAAATGATGAACCTTGGCTACACATCTGCTTCTGAATTGACGAGGTCCTCAGTGACCACCCAGAGTGTCAGAGTAGGGCCCTACCTCATCCCAACACTCAGCTTACACATTGGCTCCCCACAGATGCTGAATCCTTACTGTACACTCTTTAGTAATACCAACTTGGTCCTCAATGCCACAAAAAACTATGGAAATACTTCAGGAGAAACAGATGTGACGCTCAGCCTATATACATGAATAGCAGTTTTGTGGAGAGGGTCTCTGACTTCAGATTTCTGGGCCTGCACCTGGATGATGATCTATTCTGGAAAACTAAAATCACATCACTAGTCAAGAAGGTAAAACAACACCCTAGCTGAGGAGCTGCTTGTTCTTCTGCAAATGCTCTTTTGAATGCACAGAAGATCATCACAGTTGCCACAGTAAAGCCCACAGTCTCCCAAAGGACACATCCCACCCAGCTCTCTTTGCACTCAGTGGGACTTGATACATTTAGGTTTTAGCTTTTGTACAATGACAATAAACATTGTGACTCTGGTTGTATGCAGGTGGTTATCTGATCATCATCTTACTGATCATCAGTTAATCAACTGCATTTGATTAGCAGCTCTTTTT